TTTTCTAATCTCCCATCAGAGCTGCCATGACCTCCATTCAACTGCTGAGGGGTGATCTCACTTCCAGTGGGGACCAGCCATCTGCTAATTTGGTTACATATTTCAAAGTGGGTCTTTAGAAATTTGCCTCTAATTAAAAGATAAAACTGCAGATTTTCAAACATACCTTTCTCTCTCCCTCTCGCTATCCCTTCATCAGCACTGCACAGTGGATCCGACGCAGGATGTGCAGAAGCGCTTGGAGACGCTTGGACAGGTGTTCAGTCAAAGATTCGGTCAGGCGGTCGGCCCACGCTGCGTAGTGTACGGCAGGCAGGTATGGAGACGAAAAGGAGGAACAATGGCAACATGTTGTCCCTCATATTCTTTTGTTTTTATCTGAATTGAGTTGCTTTTCTCTTTCAGAGATTCACCCTCGGTGTCAGACTGTATTACAGAGTTATGGAGGAAATGCTGAAATCGGTACAGTTTTTTTTTTTTACCTTCTTTTTTTTAAACTGGTGGGTTAAGAGAATTTTACTGTTTTGTTTTGGATGTTTACCTTTTAATTTCAAATCTATCTGATAAGATTTATAGACATCAGTCACCAAATTATTATACAAGAGTTTTCTTTTTTCTTTCTTTCATCCTATTTAAACTTTTATCAATTAAAAGATAAATCCCATTCTAGGAAGAAAATATTTTTGGTAAATCTTAACGTTGAGGTCTTATTTTTTTGGGGTGTTTTTTTGTTTTTGTTTTTTTTCCGTAGGAAGAGAAGCGCCTGTCTGTGCAAAATTTCAGGTATGTTTTTTTTTTCTCCACTTTTATCAGAATAGTGGGAATTATGACTCTAATCCATGTTGGTGCATTGGAATTGCATGCATGCTTTCTATTGTTTTGACACACACTTTCTTCCATGGAGCTGAGTCATTTGATTTCCTTTCCAGTAAACTCCTGAATGACTCCACATTCCACACATCGCTTTTGGCTTGTGCTTTGGAGGTAGTCATGGCAACATATGGAGGCATGTCCTATAACTTTCTTATAAATGAATAATAATATAGCTCTTTATGAAGTATTCTGTATTTTTGGTCATCTGTTATCAGTAATTAAAGTTTTACACATCTTTTACGTGTGACCAATTCTAATGTTGTTCTTTGCTCCACATGATTAGAGAGCAGTTTCAAAAATGGAGGGTACAGCCATGGAGGAGCCGACTTAGCCGAAACAGATGTGTGTTTCCCCTGGATACTAAATGTGTTCAACCTGACCGCCTTTGATTTCTATAAAGTTATCGAGAGCTTTATCAAGGCCGACCCCACGCTAAGCAAAGAGATCGTCAAACATCTGGAGACCTGCGAGAACCTCATCATGGAGAGACTTGCATGGAGGACGGTCAGTTTGATCTTTCATTGCTATTAGACTAGGATGCCAATAATATCACAGCATTTCACAGAGATTGATGTATACATGACATAGAGACTCTTTGGATATCAATCATTTAGGATTTATTGGCCCAAAAGAAGCAGATTGTTGTCACTGTTTAAGAGTCACTTAAATAAAAAAATAAAAATAATAATAATAATAATAATAATAAGAAGAAGAAGAAGAAGAAGAAGAAGAATAAAAGGAGATTCTACATAAATCCTGCTTTCACTACTGATCTCATTCCATGTCAGCATTTCCCAAACATACGAAGCTGCTTTGCCAAAAATAAAATGATTTCACAGTGCTTCTTTACTCTGACTGCTCCACACGTGGGGCACACACACACGGAAACTGAAAACAACAACAGATTACACTTTTAACATACACAAAGGTGGTTACAGTTTCACTATAATGGAAAAAAAATATAGGTAACAGGATATTTTTTGCAAATTGACAAAAGTACAGTAAAGCAATCTAATGCTTTTGTTAATAAAGAGGTCTTACAGTACTTGTGTCATCAGCTACCACTGACTCCACTACTGGGCACCTCCCTGTGCACCGGGCTGCTGGAGAAATAGTAGATGAGTGGGTTGAGGCAGCAGTTGAAACTGGCTAAGGAAAGGACCACAGGATGCATAGCCTTGGTCGCCTTAGCCAGGCCACAATGTGGCAACAGCTTCATGTGTGTGAGAGTATATCCCAGCAGGTTGATGTGATAGGGGAGAAAGCACAGGAGAAACACACCCAGCACTGAGTAAATAACCCTTAGAGTGTGCAGATGGCCGTGGCGGTTGCTGCGGCAGCGGTGTCTCATCTTGCTAAGGACACTCAGCACCCGGCAGTAGCTGTAGAGGAGTACAAGAGTGGGCAGCAGAAATGACCCCAGGGCTATGCCCAGGAATAACAGAATAAGGGTGCGATGGTGTCGTGAGGACGGATCCAGCAGACAGGCCTTGTTCTGGTGAGAGGCCGCTAACCGCAGCGCAGGCAGACACACACTGAGCCCCAGAACCAGGCACCAGATCCCTCCGCTCACCACCCGTGCGGCACGTAACCTGCGCAGTGTCGATGCCAGGGGGTGCACTACAGCAAAGTAACGGTCCACAGCAATGCACACCAGGAAGAAGATGCCCCCATACAGGCTGATGTATTTGAGAGTGAATGTGATCTGGCAGTAAGCTGGCCCAAGAGTCCAACTGGGGCTGTCCTCTGTCTTGGAGGACAAGGCTTGAGCCTTTTGGTGGTAGTAGTAGATTCTCAGAGGTAGAGAGATGACAAAAAACAAGTCAGTCGTCGATAGACTGGCCATGTAAATGGCTGTGCTGTTCATGGTACAGGGAGACAGACACAGTCTGCGCAGAACCAGGCTGTTGGTGGCCACCCCCAGCAGGAAGATGACACTGTAGGATACTTTGTAGAAGGTGAAGCGGTAGCTTATATCGACAGTACAGTTAGACAAAAGTGAGACTGGCTTGGCTGTCAAATCAGTCATATTCCACTGCTCCATGTCTCAAAATGATTTGACCACTTCCAGCACGTCAAATTGTTATGGTCTTATATCTGGAGGAGGGTTAGATCGGTTGAAGAGGGCATATGTGACGAAAGATCTGCTGGAGCAGTTAAACGTGTAGTAAGTTAAAACTTAATCAAACAAAACAATTTTTTTTAAAAATTGAAATGCAAATTTGCTGAGATGACACGAATACACATCCGTATATATTCCGGTCTATGTTATATAGAAAACAAATTGATTTTGCCAATAAATTTTTACCAGCAGCTTCCTGCTTGTAAAGAAACAAAGCAAACATTTGGTGTCATTACATGCATAAAGCCAACCGAAAAAGCACTTAACTGATGTATTTCATTACATTGACAGATTAAATACACATTTACCAGAGCCCATAAAATCAATCTTTTTTTTTTTAATTGAGATTTTATAATTGAACTAAGTTTGCACGGCATAGGCAATCAGGTGAGCATTTTTCCGGTTGTAAAGGCAGAGTCTGATTATAGCTTTTTACAATTGTTTGTTGTGTGTGATCATGATTAAAGTTTATCTTTTTTTTTCTTGCCAGCTCATCTATAATGTAGGTCATTAAAGAACCGATTCAGTCACAAAATGAGCATCAATAGAAGAATAAAAAATATATATATTTCTAATATCTAAAAACTAACTTTAATTCAAATTTGGAAATAACTTTTCAAAATTAAAATAGGTGACAAATTCTCTTTCTCATAGCGTTATTATTAAGACAGATGTTTTTAATTCGATGACCTGTCAGATTTAAAATAGAGGACCCCATCTTTAAATCTGTATGGATATTACAAATTTTTCTGGAAAAGTTTGAGCAATTAATATGCTTAATTTAGAGAAAAAGATTATACTTAATTTTACAGTTGCCACAACCAAAGCGAATATTTAAAGGTAGAATTTAGTCACTCACCAGTAGCAGGATGGGAGCATTGTCAGTGTGATTAAAGGTATTTTTCCAGTCAGCTGGTGTTTAACTGTGGCTAGCTTGTTAGGATGCTGCAGTTGGGAATCTGCCGCTGACTGAAGCAGTTCACACCTAGACACCAACAGGTCTCTCTCTCTCTCTCTCGCCCTCTCTCTTGCCCTGTTCCTCTAATTTATAGCTGACTGATTACTTTTAATGACCTTTTTTAGAGGGATACAAGAGTTCTAATCTCTAGTTTAGCCTACAGGTTGTCAGATGTCAATGAAAAATTTTTTTCATTGACCTGAAAATTGTCAGATTAACTTTCGGGTTTTTTGTAGGCGTTCTGGTAGGATTGCATTTATATAGCGCTTTTCTAGACACTCAAAGCGTTTTACAATACCTTGTTTACAACACCTTGTTTACAACACCTTGTTATGAATTTATGTGAGTGACTAGAGTTAATCATAAACTGTAGCTCATAAAGTAAAAGCAATAATTCACTGAAACAAGGGGCTGTAAGCAGTAGTGCCACTTGCGTGTCAGTCCATGAACACATAAAAATAAAAAATCCCTGTGAGTGCATACAAAGTTTTATTATTTGTATTTGTAATATGTTCTTGTGCTGTAATGTGCAGAACTTTTCTTATGGTTTGTATAAAATTTGTTTATCTTTTTGGGAAGTTGATCAGCATACAATGATCTGACCAAATACTGCTCTACAAAAACCCCCTCTCTAGACTGTTTTATTACCCTTTCCCTCAAGAGGCAAGTTGTTTCTTGCCTGCTTTAGTTTTACAGAACTTTCTCATCATTGCTGGTGAGGTGATGAGTCTAACCATGTCAGTACAGACCCTGAGGCTGTCGGCAGGTATGTGCAGTGTTCAGTCTTGCATCACACAGCTTGTCACAAGCATGGAAGAAATATACACATCGTTGCTATGAGACTTATGTTTTCACAGAGTGTGAGCCTGGATCCGGTCTAAATTAGTTTTTCAGGATTTCCAACAAATTTTAGGAACTTGGAAAATCTATATTGTGTGTAGGTTGAGTTTTTTACGGTTCCAGTGTTGTTGTATATGCAGAAATGATGACATTTTGACCCACTTTTCTTTTTCTAAAGACCATCAGTTTTGTTGGAACACTTTTCATTTATTACCAACACATGTAATGAAACAATTTAAAACTTTATAAATGTATTGTGCACTGAGGGGCCAACCACACACATATGACTAACCAGTCTAGATGACTTATTTAGCTGGGAACAGTGAAAGCCACATGGGGGAAAAAAATTCTTCCAAGATAGTGCCAAGTATTTCACAACCTACCGCTTGATCAAACAAGTATTGAATTCAATACACAACACTTCAAAATGTTACAAAAATATTTAATTCAATTTCAGAATGGGAATCAAAGCTTTTATAGAACATGATTCTCTAAAAACTTCTTTAAAACCTCAATACACATAAAACAAATACTTGAAAACCGTACAGGGCAGTAGATGTAAAGAGTTGTAATACTGGTTCAGCACTGTCAAATTAGGGTTTTTCTTAAAGGTGAGTCTTCTCTGTGAAAGAAGTTCTTTCTTTGTGTTAGTACCTATTGTTGACTGAATCATTATCTTCCGGTCTAAAGTCTCTGTTGTGTCCGATAGGTGAGCCGGACTCCCCAGTAACCATTTTGTTTATGTTGTTTTTCTAAGGCACTCTGCTTTCACCCATGTCCTCTGATTTGTCCTCTGAATTGAAGTTTTGTCAGCCATACTCGCTTAAGTCAAATTTGTAGCTCACATTACCAGGCTGTCTTTAGACCGTGGACTCATTGTCAAATATTTTGGGTCTCAGACTTTTCAGCGTCAAACTCTTGGGCGTTGAACTTGGGCTGCTTTGCAAGCTGTCCATCTGTAGTCTTTCGAATAGCCTGGCACCATTTTGCCATGCTGAAGACTTTCGTTTAATGGAGCTTTGAATGGCCTCTGAAGTGAAGTAGTAGACAACTGGATCAAAGCAGCAGTTGGTCACCGCTATGCACAGAGCGATGGGGTAGATGGTTCTTACAACATGTTCTGCAAAGCATCCCTTTAGGATTTTGGAGCGGACCAAGGTGTAGAAGATGAGATTCACATTGTAGGGAATGAAACAGAAGCAGAAGATGAGCAAATGCACAAAGACCATCCTCAGGATTTTTGCTTTGTTGAGGTTTCCTCCGCGGCTGATGGTTTTGGGGTTCCTCAGTATCCTTAGCACCATGACAGAGCAGAACACATTCAACATCAGTGGGATAAGGAAGCCTGCAGTCTCAATAAACATCACCACCCACGAAAGCTCAGCCTTCCATTGTTTTTTTGAGTAGTTTTCAAAGCAAAACTGTGGCGTTGAGTTTACCGAACCCAAGTTAGTATTGTTCGGTGAAGTGGTGTCCAAAAAGACCCCAGTGGTTATACCTCCAGAGAGAATGATCACCCAAACTGTAAGGCAGGCCAGCTTGGCATTTTTCCTCGTACGAATTGTTTGGGACCGAAATGGATACACAATTGCTAGGAAACGATCGACACTGATGCAGGTGAGGAAGAGGATGCTGCCGTACATGTTGGTGTAGAATAGGGCCACGGAGATCTTACAGAGCGCACTTCCAAAGAGCCAGTCACGTTTGATGAAGTACACAATCCGAAAAGGCAGGCTGAGGACAAACAGAGAGTCTGAAACCACGAGGTTCATCATATACGTCGTGGTCTCATTCCGTATCTTCAGCGTACAGCCAAAAATGTACACAGCCACCGCGTTGAAGGTAAGTCCGACTACAAACACCATGGAGAAAACCGAGGCGTAGAGGTTATACTTGAAGTTGTCACTCTTGTTGCAGTCCGTGCTGTTATCCATCTTTAAACCAGAGTGTACACTTACAGTGGAAAGAGTGAAAAGGTTCTCCTTACTCACAGTTGGTGTTCGTTATGCCATGAAAAAAAGAAGGTATACAGCAGCTCCTTGATATACCATCCAAAGTCCTTTCCATCTACTTGTCCTGCTGTGGCAGCTGTCCTGTATGTGCAGCGATGGTCATTTAAGTGGAGCTTTCATTGTTTTCAGTGGTCCTCACAAAACAAATGTATTAAAAGAGAAGAGTCGTGCTTTTTTTCCCCTTTAGCTCTGTGAACACTTTAGTGGGTCTCCACTTGTCTCGTTCTTCTCTGTGTTGTTGAAGTCCCAAAGGCACGTGCTGATCGTCACTCTGCTCCTGCTGGATTGTAAATCAGAAACCTCACAGCAGCCTGGATGGCAGAGCCTCTGACACAGGGAACAGAGCAGGCTGTCGAACCACTGGGTGGAGCCACCGCTGGGGCCAAAGTCCTCCCATTCAAATGTCTTTCATTTGCTTTTGCAAATAAAAAGCATTTGAATAATGGAACAATAGAATGTGTTCTGTAATTTTCACATTTCAGTAAGATAAGTTTTAGTAATTTTTTTTGTTGTGTGTGTTAGATTGTCCTTGCTGCCTGCCATAGGGGTCTTTTCATCATCTTCCCGAAACATTAAAGCATTTATCAGGAGATTTTCTTATTTGTTTAATAGCACAGTGCATGTTTTTGTCTTTCAGTGCTCTTACTAGTGTCATTTGGAGTATTTTAAATTAAAAAAATAAAATAAAATAAGAGCATGACTCATCTGTAGTTGGATGTATTATGTAGTGTTGTAATATGTTACGACCTGATAATCAGCTGTGAGGATAGATAACCACTGATAGATGTCAGCGAATGTTCTTATCCAAATGTACTTTTGAAATGTTGGTGGCGTAAGCGGGGTGTGGCAGGCATGATGCATGAATGTACCATAAGCCATACTTACAAGTCCATACTCGCAGTTACTGTGGGAGCTGCTGAGTTGTAAACCACTCCTCACTTCCCTGTATGAGCTCATATCAGTTTGCTTTTTTACTGGTGTGACGGTTGCGTGCTGAGATTCACGTGCAACCTTCACTTTCACTGTCTTTTCATCTTGATTTAGAATTGTGCATGTTAACATAGATTTAGCTTCTTTTTTTTCTTTTTCTTTTTTGGTATTTAGAGAAAATGTATTTTTAATTTGAAGTTATTATTTGTTTAACAAGCTTAACGAGTCAGTCAAATGCATTCAGAGTCAGACAGGATACTGTAGGGTGTGTGCTTGGGTCAACATAAAATGAGGAACAGATTTATAATACATGTATAGATTTGACTTATCAGTTGGCTGTTTTGCAAGGGACATTTCACATGTAAAATACCTCTAACATCATTTCTGCACATGTCTTCTACTTAATATACCAGGAAAAAAAACCAAAAAGGAACCAATTGCCTGATCAAGACATGATCTCCAACCTAACAGGATTATTATATTACATTATTATGTGATTGCCAAATGAAATAATTTCTTTTTGCACCTTTTTAAAATTCCTGCTTGAATGAAAGGAAAATGAAAGTTGTGATGGACAGGATATAAATGGAAATGGTTAAATATAAAGTAAATGTTTGTGTCTCTGCAGGGCTCCCCACTATTTGAGCTTCTGAAACAGGAACATGAGAGCGGAGGAGCAGAGCAGGTGGAGACCCCAGCTAATTTCAGTCAACCGCTGCAGCACAACCACACCGCAGCCGACCTGTAAGTCATCCCGCGGCTTTCGATCAGTTTGTCTTTTGATTTTGAAAGAACACCAAACCCTTTTTACAAGAGTTGTGAAACTACTGACTAATCAAAACAGCACAGCCTTGATGAATACGTCATAGATGAGCAGATAAGCATCAATAATATTTTGTTAAATTCCACAGCCCCCTCCCCCTCCCCTCTTTCTTAGATTTTTTTTTGAGCTTTGAGGAAGAGCTTTCTTTTGTTTTACCCGTCCATTTAAGGTTCGTGGTTAGGGGAATGTTTCATGTTTATTGACATATGAAACTGGTTCCTGTGCTCTTCCCGCACAGATATTTGTCCCCCATGCGCCCAGGCCTGCGTGTATTACCTCCTGAGTCCAGCTGTCAAACTTCCTCTCAGCCTGCCTCACAGCCAACCAGCCAACCTCCACGACCCCTGAAGTCCAACTCTCTCAGCCTCTTCTATAAAAAATGTAAGTCACTGGTAGAGTTTGCACTAGTCAAAAATAATTGATGGTGGTGGTCCTGCCTAGCAATAAAGTAATCTTTTAAAGTAGTAATGTTGTGATGGATGGAGTAAATAATGGGAAAAATAACAAGTTAATAGGAGAAAATATTAATGCAATTGTATAAAATAACATTGTTTGATATTTTCTTTAAAGTATTGCAGATACAGTCAGGTGTCCCCACATTTTCATTAAGCAATTTTTTTATTCTTATATTATTATTGTTACATTTTTATTAAGATAAGAGGTTCCATTCATTATTCTATCACACTAGACGCTCTAATCCTCTGGTTTTGTTTCTCTGTAGTGTACCGTTTGGCCTATACAAGGCTGAAGATGCTCTGCTCCTACCTGCTGTCCTCCCACCCTGAGTTTGAGCCCATAATATGGACTCTGTTCCAGCACACTCTGCAGCATGAGTACGAGCTGATGAGAGACCGTCACCTCGATCAGGTAAGCTGGAAATATGTCGCTCTCACTATTTGTTTCTGTCCCTCGTCTCCTGTTATTGCCCTCCTCCACTTTTCTTATTTATTTTTCTCTGCTAAATACGTTGTATGTTCCTGTAGTTGATGATGTCTGCCATGTATGCCATATGTAAAGTGAAGAGCGTTGATCTGCGCTTCAAGACCATTGTCACAGCATACAAAAACATGGCCAACACCAGCCAAGAGGTAAAACAGCCTGCTACAGTTTCCATAAAAACTCACCGAGTCGGCTGGAGTTTTGCTGATGTAATCGTGTTTCATGTAGAACTGTAACAAAACACTTTGAATGTTGCAGACCTTCAAGCACGTGTTGATCACTGAAGGCCACTACGACTCCATCATTGTCTTCTACAACCAAGTGTTTATGCAGAAGCTGAAAACAAACATCCTGCAGTATGCTTCTACCAGGGTGAGCTACATCTGCAGTAGTCATTGGTGACGGTGGGGTTTTAATGCACATATATAAAAAAAGAAGTATTTCTACAAGTTTCTCTCATTGTTTCTGCTGCTGTTTTCTTTTCTAGCCTCCGACACTCTCGCCAATCCCACAAATACCCTGCAGCCCCTACAAGTTCCCTAATTCGCCTCTGCGTGTGCCCGGTAGCAACAATGTCTACATCTCTCCATTGAAAAGCGCACGCATGTCTCCCGGTATCATGACCCCTCGATCCAAGTAAGTCCTGCATAATATTCGTTGTCAAATAATTTTTGACAACGCTACTCCTGAACTAGAATGATATTTTAGAATGATTTGAAATGAAGGCCTGTTTGTTTTGTACAATGCTCATTGGGGTTTTTTTTGCCCTTGCAGAATGCTGGTATCGATCGGCGAATCATTTGGGGTATGTTCATCTTAAGTTTGCTCTGTAGACCCAGAGAGTTGATTCTGTTCATCTGGTTGCTTAGTCTGGATGTACAAAATCAACTTTCTGGTATTTTACTTACTTGGATTATCAAGCATGCATCAAAACATTTTGCTCTGTAGTGTAACAAAGGGCTGGTTTGATCTCTCAGCAGCTGCAGTGCCATTTATTTGTTTCCTCACTCACTCTTACTTCCGTTTTGTCTTCATCTGCAGCCATCAAATCGCTTCCAGAAGATCAACCAGATGGTCAACAGCAGTGATCGATCCCTAAAGAGGACTCTGGATCATGGCTCCACGCCAAAGCCTCTGAAGAGGTTACGATTTGATGTGGACGGGCAAGATGAAGCTGACGGCAGGTTGGTCACAAATGGTGCTTGTGTGCCAGATTATATTATATCATGTGGGGCAGCACAGCATTTTTGCACCATTATCCCGTCTCATATGAGACATGATTTACTATTTTAATTGGCTGTAGTTTTCATAAGTCAAAACATCACTCTCACCAAAATCACAAGAGTGAAAAATAGCCAACCAATGGCTTCGTCTGTCTTAAAAGCCAAAGATGATTAGCTGACAGAACAGCAACTGAAATAACAGTTTACAATTACTGTGAAAGAAAG